CAACCAAACGGTTGTAGTGGATCAAATGTTAACCGAACCCCGTTCGGGAGAAGAGAGAAATTGTTTATTAACCTGGCTCCTCATCCGGTCAACACAAGAATACTCGGCACACAGGCCAGAAAAGCAAGTTTTTGGCATACTGCTGCATAAAAAAAAAAAAAAAAAAAAAAAAAAAAAAAAAAAAAAAACAAACAAACAAAAAGAGTTGGCATACTGCCGCTGAAACCACTTCTGGCCCACAGGCAGATCCTCCTGGTCCTTCTCCCTTTCTTCCTCACCATCTGAGGCAATCACATGCGCTTGACAAGGACCGGGTTGCTCAGGCTCGGGAAGCTCCGTGTTGGCCCAAACGGCGAAGGACTCAAGCTCTAGCTCGCCTCTCTCTCTCAAGTACACCACTTCTTCGGCTTACTTGTGAGCTAGTGCCCAGACGCCATAATCCTTGTCTGGGTACAAGGCAGCCCAGGCGATCCTATTTCTGGTGTCATTGTCAGCATCACTTTCAGCAACCAGGCGGTTTTGCTCTGCCTCCAGAGTTGCTGCAAATTTTATCTGAGCCTGGGCAGCCTCATCTTCAAGCTTCTGAACCTTGGCCTTCAAGTCGGTGTTCTCTTCAGAAACACCTTGGAGTTTGCCAAGGTCCGCCTGGGCCATCTTGAGCGCCTCATCAGCCTTCTTGAGGCCCTCCTCCGCCTTCTTCTGAGCCGCCTCTGCGTCGCTCACCCGCTGGTTAGCCGTCTTTAGCTCCGCCTCCAGCTTCTGGATTTTCGACGCCTGTGTCATTGTGGTTGCTTTAGTTTCAAGGTCATTTATGACAGTGGAGTATAAAGCAACATTATCAGCGTCTGTGGCGGATTTCTTGGCCCTTTTTACCTCTTCCCGTTTGCGAGTATAAGGACGCTTGAGCCCGTCTACCCGCAGTAGAGCCTACAAAAGCAAATCAAGTTAGTATTGCAGGCGGAGTAAAGCACTAAGAAAAAAATTTCAAGTGTCTTACCTCAGCCAGAAGGGACAGGATTCGTTCCAGATTGAACGTCTCTATCCCAGGGATAGCGTCCTTGTCCTTCCTTCTCACCGCCTCCAGCATGGCCCATTGGCCCTAGCATGCCTCTGGACGTCTGGCCAGCGACGAGATTGATCTTCACCATAATCAACAGGTGATGAGTGCGAAATTAAGGCGGCACCTATCTGTTGCCGACCGTCTGAGGATGACGTCTGTTGGGAGTGGGATTTCACTCGCAAAGGCCACCCCAGTTGAGGCGGGGATTCAAATGGGTTCTTACCTTCAGAGCCGGCCAAGCGAGAGCCGCTTGTAGGCGTGGTGAACTCCCCGGTTGCTGATAGGGGGTTGGCGAGGTGGAGGCCCAGACTGCCGCCTACCCTCTCATTTCGCCCCCCTATCCGGCTCTGATGTTTACCGGCTGGGGCGCCAGGAGTCATGGTGGAGCTGGATTTTTTTGTCTTTCCGGGGGTGGAGGCGGATTCCTCCCTGGCCCGTTTGAGATTTTTCTCAATCGTCTTACTCTTCACTACCTCTCCTCCCTGTGAAAATAACCAAGTTAAAGTTAGCATTCGGGGAAAGTAAACTTTGAAGACAACCTAAGAAAGAGTCAGGCGTTTTTCACCTTGGCCCTGAGCTCGGCCGCCTGTTTTTCCGCAAGCTCCTTGCGGATGGTTGCAGAGGACCGCCTGGGTGTCTTCTCATCTGGCAACATGTTCAAAGCTTCTTCTGCAAAAAGGAAAAAAGTTGATCTCAGGCGCCTTGGTTTGTTAAACATGTTTTCGAGCCCGCAGGCGGCTAAGAAACACTCATCCCTGAGCCAGGCGCTCTTAGGGATCCAGTTCTTGGGGACTTTTATTGTCTCCCCGGTTGACAAGGTTGCGTCTGTGAGGCCAAAAAAGTATCTCAATTATTTTTTCAAAGTCCTCATTTGGGATCCGGGGAAGACAGCACTTCCGGACCATCAGTTCGGGCTTCTTATTGTATTGGCGGAGCTCATAGTTCTCCCGCCTGCTGGGAGCCGTCAACAGGTAGAACTTGTGAATCCAGCCGTCAAATTTAGAGACCTTGTCTAAGGTCATCATGTATTGGGGATACGTGGTTAAAGTGTACCACGCCCTCCAGCCGCCTTGGTTGCGACTAAGATAATGCATCTTAGCAAAAGCTTCTCAGCCGGGATAGAGCCCCTGAAATTCGCAGGCGGCAACATACCCCAAGATGTTTGCCCATGAATTAGGGGTAAGTTTCCAGACTCCGAGGCCGTAGCCTCTCAAGATTGCCTTCACCGCTTGGTGAAGGGGAAAGCGAATACTGGCCTTAAACGTCGCCTCATAACAGCCAAAGTAGCCGTTGGCGTTCTGTTGATCGTCTTCCTAGGCGATGGTGCCGTCCTCAGGCGGCACTCTGATTTTGTACCTGTCTCCTAACGGGTGCAGTTGTTTAATCTTCTCTAAGTTATCCTCCATGTGACCCCTATCTTTTGCTGAAACGTGGATTTTGAAGGGGTCATCCTTCTCATTCCACTTCTTCCTTTCTTCCTCCTCACTATCTACAAGCGGTGGCAAGTCGTCACTGTTCTCAAAAGTTGAGGCGGAGCTGTCACTCTCCATCTCCTCCTCATTTTGTGAAAAAGGAGCTGAGACGGCTTCATCGCCGCCTTGGTCGCATTCTTCCAAAAAGGAATCTGCGGGAGTTGAAGGGGCACGCGGAGGAGATCTCTCCAGATCCGTCTGGTTTCCCTGACCAGGCGTTTCTCCCTCAGGAGTTTGGCCGCCAGAGCCCTCGCTTCTGTAATCTAGATCAGGGGCCGTCTGCATAGTCCGAGCCATTGTGTCCTGCACAGACACGTAAATGGTAGGAATCCAAGCAAAAGGGTGATCCCAACACCCCGAGACGGCACTCCCAGTCCTAGACTCAGCCGTCCCTGGTGACCGACTGGACTCTAACCTAGGCTGTGCCATGTGTGGTGGTGATGCATCCATTTATTGCAAGAAATATGTACAAGCGGTGAAAAATGAAAAAGAGCTGAGAGAGATAGAGACGGTACCTTTAGATTTGATATCTGAAGGTAGACGGGTCCGGTTGGGTTGACGAGAAAGAGTTTTCTTACTTGCGCTTGACTCAGACGGATGACTTCTACTCTCTCTCAAATTTTTCTCTCTTGAAAATTTTTGTAAACGTACAAAATTATGAGGATAAACGGCTATATATAAAGGGTAAATTCGGGGGCATCCCCGTAATTTACTCAGAAGGTAAACAGTTACTTTTTGGCGGTAAAATTAACACCAACCGGAGCGTGACACGTGTCACATATGCCACGTGGTGTGCCATGTCACATCTGTGAGGGCAAATGTTTAGGGTAATTTTACCCCGCCACGTGGTCCAATCAGAGGATGACACGTGTCAGCCCCAGGATGGCCCAAAGTGGACCTATCCCTGCTTGACACGTGTCACTCCAGAAACTTGGGGGAAATGGCGGCCTTCAGGCCCAAATCCCGAGAAAGTCGCAATGCGGCGCAGCCCACCAATGATTAGGGTTCAGTGACCTAACTAGGGGCACAAATCTCGAGGACCCTATAAATAGGGAGATTCCCCTCTTTTGGAGGACACGTTTTACCATTTATTAAAAAAATGTCCCTTTGATAGAGACATCTGATCTTGGAATCCGAGCAGATACCCACCTAAATTTCCGCACCTTTTTCTCTCCCTTCAAGTTACTAACTTGTTCGTTGGAGGCGAAGCACCACCCAACCGGTGTCTCCGTTTGTTTTGCAGGTACAGGCCGCACCGGACCAGTTTTTGTGTTATAACTCTCCTGAGGGACAAAAACACCCAAAACACCCATGGCCCATTAAAATCCTAGGACTTTATACTTGTCATGATATACTAGGATTTGAATTCCTTATTGGTTGGGGGACCTTGAATTAGAGTTGATCGTATCATTATGTTTTTCTGTACGAAACTAATAAGGAGTCCCAATGAGTTTAGGAAAACTTATAAACCTCATTCATGCCTTTCTCCCAAATAGAGTTCAAGGGATATTTAGCCCGACTCCTAAGTTTACCCATGCCCACATTGGTCTACTTATACCATAAATGAGTTCGGGAGCGAGGGTACTAAAATAATGTTCCCTTTAGTAGAGTCTTTTAAACCTTCTATGATTGTGTCTCCTTCAATACCTTCTTGTTCAGAACCTATTCCTAGGATAATCAATAGCCAAGTCCCAATGGACGTCTTTTTATTTGATGTAATGATTTATAAATTCAATAATATGTCTTCATTCGCTTACTCCTCGTTTTATTCTCTTACCCAATATGATGAGAATTGCTTTGCTAACAATGAAAAGGTTAAAGAAATAAATAAATCAGAGGAAACACTTAAAATAAAATATCGGTAATTGAAGTCACCGAAACGGTTAATATTTTAAAAGATCCAACTGTTAAAAGAGAAATTAAATTGGTTTAACCATTAATGAAGAGGAAAGAATCAATATAATAAATCTACTAATGGCATGTTTGGTATTGTGGATTTCATTTTAAATGACGGAATTGGGCCAAATAGATTGTTTAGCTATACTAAGAATTTGGATTTTTAATTGGGCCAAATCCAAGGTATGTAAGAAATATGGCCATTTAAAATCCATTATCAAATCATGTCATTTCAAATCCAATTTGTTTCCCATCTCACTTTTTCTCTCTCCACGATACTCTCTGAGAAAAATTTTCTAAAACGTGTAAGGGATGATGACGAAGATATGGAGTTTATTGTCGTAGTTATAGGTTTTATTATGATAGTAGTAGGTGCATGTTATGGTCAAAAGTATAGGCTTAAGGAGGTAACATGGAATGAGCATGAGCGTGCCTTAACTAGAGCTACTTGGATGAACACTTTAAAAAATGATAGGATTTGTCGAGAGCAATTAAGGCTTGACATAAGTTGTTTTAATAAATTATGTCATATATTGCAAACTAAGGGAGGTTTAAAGACAACAAGAAATGTCATGGTAAAAGAGATAGTTGCATTGTTTCTTCATATTCTTTCCCAAGATTTGAAAAATAGAACAATTCAAGCTATCTTTGCCCGTTCTGGAGAGACCGTGAGTCGTCAATTCCATATAGTCCTCCAATCTATTTTGAAGATTGGAAAGTATTACATCAAGCAAGTTGACCAAACCACTAGTTTTGCCAAGGATAACAAGTAGAAATGGTTTGAGGTAAAATCAATATGACCTAAAGCATTAACGATATAAATTTCTTTTTATTAGCCTAAGTTATGTATTGTGAAATATAATGCTAGGGTGTTGTTGGAGCTCTTGGTGGAACACACATTAAGATGACCGTCCCTATTGAGGTTTGTCCTCGCTATCGAGATAGGAAAGGTGACCTTAGTACTAATGTCTTAGCGGATTGTGATTCTAATCTTCGTTTCACATATGTCTTACCTGGTTGGGAAGGGTCCGCATCAGATCCTCGTGTGCTTCGTGATGTATTAAGGAGGCCTAATGGGCTTAAAATACCAAGAAGTAAGAGTTTAGATTTTTTTTTTCTTCATAACTTAGTAATTTTATATTGAATCTATATGATTAATCTAATATTTGATAATGCAGACAAAAACTTTCTTGTGGATTTGGGCTTTTCAAACTGTGAGGGATTTTTAGCTCCTTACAATGGAACCCGTTATCATTTAAATTTGTGGAGGGGAAACACTCCAACAAATTATATGGAACTTTTCAATTTACGACATTCCTCTGCTCGAAACACTATTGAGAGGGCTCTTGGGTTGTTGATGAAACATGCAGACAAAGACTGATTTGCCTCTACCGCTATTGACAACAGAATACCGGCTATGGCCGCCTCATACTCAGCTTCGTTATTGGTAGCTTTGAACTTGAACTTTATAGCGTACTCAAAATTTTCCCCATCTGGGCTACTATCACAACACCCGCCTTAGATCCAGTTGTTATTGCTAACCCGTCCACTGATACCTGCCATGTTCCCAATTCTTCTTTTTCATCATTGTATGAAGTTTCCACAATGAAATTCGACAAGGCTTGTGCCTTAATTGATACTCTAGGTTTACAATGCAGCTCGTACTCCGACAACTCTACATCCCGTTTCAATAACTGGCCCAACGTATCCATCGTTTGCAGCGCCTTCTCTAATGGATTATTTGTTAGCACCTCTATCGGATGAGCATCAAAGTAAGGCCGCAGCTTCCTGGCCGCAATTACCACTGCCAGCGTCATCTTTTCTATTACAGGATATCTACGCTCTGCGGCATTGAGGACACCTCGTTCTAGTCTTCCAACCGTTGGAAGGGGTCTCTTATGATTTCTCACCACCTCCAATGCTTCAGCCTGATACTTTCCCTATTCTAAGGTTTTGTTTTGCTGTAACACCACAAAAAACGGAAGCGCCTTATCAACTGATTTACTGATGAAGCGGGTTAGCCCTGCCCCTGCCATCCTGTCCATAAGCCTCTGTATATCTCAAAAAAAATTCGTCTGTATCATTTCAAGGATTGCATTCACCTTATCAAGATTTGCATCGATACCTTGTTCACTCACCATAGAGCCCTAAAATTTCCCCAATCGGACCCTAAAAACACCCTTTTCTTTATTCAACTTCATCTAATATCTTTGCAAGGTCTTAAACGTTTCTTTTAAAGCTATGTGATCTTCTTTTAACCTACTCTTCATAATTGTTTCCTCTACATACACTTCTACATTTCGCCCCTTTTGTTTCTTAAATATCTTATCAACAAGCTTTTGATAAGTTGCCCCTGCATTTTTTAACCCAAACGGCATAGCTTTATATTAATACACTCCAGCATCCTTTATGAATGTCGGTTTTTCTCTATCCGACTTGTGAAGGTTGACCTGGTGATATCCAGAAATTGCATCCAAGAAATTGAGCATCGCATGGCCGGAAGTGGAGTCTACCATCCTGTCTATCCGTGGCAACGGATAACAATCCTTGGGGAAATCCTTATTTGGGTCCGTGAAATCCACACACATTCGCCATTTTTCTGTCGGCTTTTTAACCATTACAACATTCTCTAACCATTCTGGATATGTGCATGGTTCTATAAACCCCTCCGTTAAGAGTTTGTTAACCTCAGCTTGTATTGCTTCAATCTTTTCTGTTGAAAAATTACACTTCTTTTGTCTTATTTGCCTGAATTTTCTATCAATATTCAGCTTGTGCTCCATAACCTCAGGATGTATCCCAGGCATCTCATCCGCCGAGAAGGGAAACACATCTGCATTCTCCCACAGCAGACTAATTAGATGGAACCTCATGTCAACATCCTTATCTACCCCAACTTTGACCTTCCGAGTAGGATCTCCTGGTTGAAGTTCAACTTGCACCGTTTCTCCTCCTGGTGACGGCCATGGTACAGTTTCTAGCCTTGTATCAAAATTTTCCTTTGACATATCTCCTAACGTTGGCTCCCTTTCTCTTTTAGGGTTATTCAGTATCGGACCCTCCTGCACCGGATACTTCAGAGCTGTCACATAGCATAACTTTGCCATCACCTACCCCCTGTGCACCCTTTCTACGGCTCCCAAATTTGACACATAGGCTATTGTCAGGTGATACGTTGATACTACGCTTGCACATCATGAACTATCGGCCTTCCGATAATAGCATTGTAAGCTGATGGTACATTAACTACCAAGAACTCTGACATCACGTCCCTTGCCACCGGCCCATCGCCTAGCCGTACAGGTAAAACAATGCTTCCTTCCAGCCTTACCATTTACCTAGTAAATCCAATTACTAAATAGGTTACCTGCATCAGATACTGCCTCTCAATCATCATTTCATTAAATTCTTGTATGAATAACACATTCGCTGAGCTGCCGCCATCCACCAAGACACTTTTTATATCAACCCCATTTATCTTCATTATCAGCACTAGAGGGTCACCATGAGGAAAGACAATTCCCTTTGCATCTTCCTTTGTAAACACCACATCAGAAATACAGGTAGGTCGAGGATGACTATCAGCATCCAGAGCATTGATTATATGTTGGTGCTTCGATAGGTGCCTCCTTGCCCCACTTATTGTTCCTCCATGAACCGGTCTCCCAGTTATCACATCAACCCTTTTCCCCGTTGACAACGGCCGCAAGCCTCCATCCCCTTGCCTAATAATTCCGGCTTGTGGCCTTTTGGGCCTTGCTTCCAACCGCTGGCGCTCTATCTGCCGGTATTGCGAAGGTTGGTTTCCTCCCGCATTCAACCGGTATTGGGCCAGGTGCCCCTTCCTTATCAGCTCCTCAATGTTATCTTTCAACTGCGTACATTCCTTAGTGTAATGGCCCACATCCCGGTGAAACATACAGTATTTCTTAGCATCCCTTCCTTTTGCCCTCATAGGTATGGGTCTCACCCATCCTTCTCAGTTCTGATTGACAGAATGTAAAGCAGCCCTCGGCGCATTCAGCGGTGTGTACGAACTATACCGTATTGGTGCCTTGGCACCCCTGACCTCCTACCGACTTCCTCCTCCCCTTACTAGGGCCGGATTTCTTGGCCTTCCTGCTCCTGAAGATCCTCCATCCGACATAGGCTGAGCTTTATCGGCAGAACCAACTCGACTGCTTATTTTCATCAGTTCTTCACTTTTTATGTAATCATGGGCTTTGTTAAAATCCGCTGCTAGTGTCGATAAATTCTTTCTGGTTAAGTACCTCTTAAACTCCGAGTCGTTAAGACCATTCATTAATCCCATAACCACTATCTCTTGCTGTAATTTTGGGATTGTGTTTGCTTCATTGTTAAACCTCCTAATGTAGTGCCTTATAGACTCATCTTCCTTCTGCCCGATTACCATTAATTCTCCTGAAGTTCTCTGCCATACAATGTTGCTGATATACTGCCCACAAACATTTCAGTTAGCTTCTCAAAGCTTTCTACCGTTCCATTTCCCAAATTGTTAAACCAATCTGCTGCAGCCCCAGTCAGAGTGGTTGGAAAGACCTTGCACCATACGGCATCCGAGTAGGTGTATAAGATCATATGTCCCTTGTATAAGGTTATATATCTACTTGGATCTCCCCTTCCATCGTACCTACATGTCGACATTTTGATCTTCTCCATAGGCTGATCCAAGATACTCTGCGCAAACGGTGATGTCGTTAACTAGACCACTGTCTGCACCATCTCTTGCCCTACAATATGCGAACCTCCTTGCCGATGAACTCTTGTACTAGCGGCATGGCCTGAGGATTAATCTTGGACTCCCACCGAGTCGCCTGCACTCTTACCGGCAATTCTTTTGAAGAGCCAATCATATTGGTTTTAAGGCCATTAGGGTTCGAGCTTGGAGCAAAGAATCAAGAATGGTTAACATGCGCAGCCATTGAAGAAGAAGTCAAGGACCAGTTGGGTTCCGACGACAACAGCGGTGGCGACGCGCCGATCTGGGTGCCACGCGCCGGCTTCCTAGCTCCGGCCTGAGTCCAGCTACACGGTGGTGGGGCGCGTGTCGAGGATGGAGGCGCGTGAGGTGGTAGTTCGGCGGCAGTACAAAAAGAAAGATTTTCTTTACTTAGTTTTTTCTAGAGTTTTGCTTGCAAGTTTTTACCTTTCACTTGAAAGGGTTTTTCTTGGTTTAAGCAATTAGGATAAGTTTATTTTTCTGTCATTTAGTTGCTATAAACTTCATAAGGTGATTAGGAAAGTTTTTAGTTAGTTAGAGTTTGATTAGGAATAAACTACCTAGCAATCTTATCTTTGATAGGATTGAAATTCTATCTTATGTAGGATTATTAGAATCCTATCTAGGTTAGATCTTCTACTTCTAGGAGGACTAGGAGACCTCTTTTGAGGCTTTTAAAAGCTTATTTTCGTGGCTTTGAAGAACATATCAAAACCAGAAAATTTAATACAAGTTTATTGTTTGTTTTGCTTAATTGCTTACAAATTCTTTTGCTAGTTTTCAATTCAAGGAGTTGGTTGAAGATTAGAACATTAAACACTTAGTGTCTAGGAGTAGGCTAAGAGTTTAATCTCAAAATAATTAGCGTCCAGGAGTGGGTTAATTAATTTGGGGATTCGAATCATAAGTTTCAGGAGTGATCTTGTGAGGAGAAATATCGGTTCGTTTTTATTCAATCTTAAAGAAATCCTTCAAGATTGGATCGTTACTTCAAGATTGTGGATTTTCTAAAATCTTGACTAAACAAGGGGTTAGAATCCACATCAAATTGGTATCAGATTTCAGGGGTTTTTGATCGTTCAACACTTCGTTCATCAAATCGCACTTGTTCTCGGATAACCAGTTTTTCTGTCAACTTCAGAAGGCTCGTTCTCCTTCGTTACAAGGTCTTTTCAGGTGATTCTTTTTTTGATTTTGAGTGAAATTTTGTCTACTTTCTGCCTGTGAAATTTCGAAATTTTTCGAGTTCGTTTGCTATTAAACTGGACTGTTTTCCGCAACTGTGTCAGTTTTGGTCCGATTTAATACTTACTGCTCGTTGTGTGCAATTTTGTTCCAAGTTGTGTTGCGATTTTTGTGGGATATACCTGTGTGGATAAGGGTTCTTTTAAGTCTGTTTTTGTCTTATAATTATGGAGGAAGCTTTGAGCAAACTCATGGATGAATTTGCAAGATTGCAAGATAACACGGAGGCACGTTTTAATGCTTTTTCACAACTATTGCTTGATAAAAAGAAAAAGAAGAAAAAACGGCATGATAGTGATAGTGATGCTTCTAGTAGTGATGTTGATACTCATAATATGAATAAGATTGATGATAAAGGTATCAAGCTTGATGATTTTACGGGTCTAGGAAGCCCCGAAGATTTTCTTGAGTGGGCGAGACAATTAGAGAAAATTTCAGATTATAAAGGTTTTGATGATTCTCAACGTTTCAAAATTGCTTATATACGACTCACTAAGAATGCGGGAATTTGGTTCGATAATTTGAAAGCACGACGTGCTAGGGCTGGGAAAGAAAAAATCAAGACTTGGACGGTTTTGAAAAGGAAGATGCGTTCTAAATACCTTCCACATGATTTCGAACAAATTCTGTATGTGAAACTCACTATGTTGACACAAGATACTAAGAGTGTTAATGAATATATTGCTGAATTTGATAAACTAACCTCTCTTTGTGATTTGGATGAAAAAGAACCATTGAGGATTGCTAGGTTCCTTAAAGGTCTAAATCGCACTATCTCTAGGAAGATTGAATTGAGTACGTATGAATCATTCAATGATGTGTGCAAACTAGCTTTAAAAATTGAAAGTCATTGGCTCGAAGATAAGAAGAGCACAAGTACAAAGAGTTTTGGTACCAAGTTCTCACAAGGGACCGAAACAAGCAAAGCTTTCAAGCCTTTTAAACCGAGTTCCTACGAGTCTAAGGGAGAAAGCTCAACAAGTGGAGAAAAGAAATTCGTTAAGATATCTAAAGAAGAGTTCGAAGCCCGAATTAGATGTTTCAAATGTCAAGGAAAGGGACATAGGTCGGATCAATGTCCTTCCAAGAAAACTCTCACAATAAGACAGTACGAACAACAAGTAGAAGAAGAGAAACACATAGTTTTTGAGTGTGACGATGAGGAATCCGAAACTAAGGCAACAGGTAGTGAGGAAGAGAACGAGGAGATTGATCCCGAGGATGATGAAAAGGTGCTTGTGGTAAGGAAGATCCTCCATGCCGAAGCAAACCCTAACAAATCTCAACGGGAAAACTTATTCCATACTCGTTGCAAAGTAGGAGATATATCATGCAAGGTGATCATTGATAGTGGTTCATGTACTAATGTGGCGTCCACAGAAATGGTTACTAAGCTCAACCTTCCAACAAGAGTACATGAGAATCCTTACAAGTTGAGTTGGCTTGATGATTCTAAGGGACTTCATGTAAAGAAACAAGCCTTAGTAAGCTTTTCCATTGGCAAATACAAAGAAAAGTTATGGTGTGATATTATTCCTATGAGTGCTTGTCACCTTCTTTTAGGGAGACCTTGGCAATTTGATCGTCAAGTTACACATGATGGTGAGGCAAATACTTATTCGGTGAAAGTAGGAAACAAAAGGTTCAAACTCAATCCTCTACCCCCTAATGCAAGCTACGGTCATAACAAAGATAAAGAGAAGCAAGTGCCGAATTTCTTTTTGAATGCTAAGGAACTTGAGAGTGAAGTAGAAAAGGGAGCCACGGTCTTTGCCTTAGTGATAAAAGAGGCGAAATCCACAAGTTCTTCAACAAACGTGCACCTAGAAGAATTGCTAGATGAATTTAAGGATGTGTTCCCAGAGGCACTTCCTAAAGGTCTACCTCCTTTGCGTGGAATAGAGCATGCTATTGATCTTATTCCCGGAGCTCCCCTACCTAATAAACCAGCCTATAGGTGCGACCCTACGGCTTCCCAAGAGCTTCAAAGACAAATAGAGGAATTGATTGAAAGAGGCTATGTTCGTGAAAGCATGAGCCCTTGTGCGGTTCCAGCTTTACTAGTTCCAAAGAAAGATGGTACATGGAGAATGTGTATTGATTCAAGAGCGGTCAACAACATTACTATCAAGTATCGATTCCCTATGCCACGACTAGAAGACATGCTTGATGAGTTACATGGTTCTACCATATTTTCCAAGATCGATCTTAGAAGCGGCTACCATCAAATGCGAATTAGAGAAGGAGATGAGTGGAAGACTGCTTTCAAAACTAAGCAAGGATTATATGAATGGATGGTCATGCCCTTTGGGCTATGCAATGCGCCAAGTTCATTCATGAGACTCATGAACGAGGTACTTCGACCCTTCTTAAATAAGTTCATTGTCGTTTACCTTGATGATATATTAGTCTATAGTCGAGATAATGTTGAACACATTGATCATCTTAGAAGATTATTTGAAACATTAAGAGAACATCAACTATATGGCAAACTTGAAAAGTGCTCATTCATGGTTCCAAGTATTTCTTTTCTTGGCTATATTATTTCGGGTAAGGGTATTGAAGTGGATCCCGAGAAGGTGGCTGCTATGTCGACTTGGGTGGCGCCTAAAAACATTCGTGAAGCACGTAGTTTTCATGGTCTTGCATCGTTCTATAGAAGGTTCATTAGAAACTTTTCTAGTATCATGGCACCTTTCACGGAATTGATGAAGAAAGGGGACTTTGTGTGGACTAATTCGGCGCAACAAGCATTTGAGACAATCAAGGAAAGACTATGCAATACGCCGGTTCTAGCTTTGCCTAACTTTGATAAATTGTTTGAAGTGGAATGTGATGCAAATGGAGCAGGTATAGGTGCGGTTCTAATTCAAGAAGCACGACCTATCTCTTACTTTAGTGAGAAACTAAGTGGTGCAAAGTTGAACTACTCTAACTATGATCGTGAATTTTATGCTATTGTACGTGCTTTGGATCATTGGTCTCATTACTTAAGACCAAAACCTTTTGTGCTACATTCGGATCATGAGGCTTTGAAGTATATCCATGGACAACAAAAGTTGAATTATAGACACGCCAAGTGGGTTGAGTTCCTACAATCTTTTACGTTTTCTTCAAAGTATAAGGAAGGCAAAGCGAATGTGGTTGCCGATGCACTATCAAGGAGATCTTATTTGCTAGCCATGGTGGATGCTAGGATCATTGGTTTTGATCATATACTTGGGTTGTATGCAACCTGTCCGGATTTGGCAAAAGAGTACAAAGACCCTTCACGCAACTTTGTGCTTCAAGATGGCTTCTTATTTCAAGGTAACAAACTTTGTATTCCTCAATGTGGTGTGCGTGAATTGCTTATTAGAGAAGTGCATAGTGGTGCAATTGCGGGGCACTTTGGTGTTCACAAAACAGTTGATATGCTTAGAGAATAT